ACCTGAGTTGACTGTGTCGTGCTCAGACCCTCTTGAGATCAAATCACCCTCTTCAGAAGCTGTACTTGTGCTTTCTTCTTCCAGGGAAAACTGTTGCTTCTCTACACTGGGAAAGCAATAACTTCATTGTCAAACTTTTTCTGTAACAGTTGGCAAAACAAATGGCAACTACAAGTTTTTACTTCTTTTTCTTTGCTTTCTTACACATCGTACTTTTTATATTGCAGGGGTCTGATGGTAGAGATGACAGGCGCATGCCATTTAATGATACTTTTTTAAATGTCTTAAGGCTTTATCACTGTTTTCTCCCAAAATATTTGCCCTGTACCTTCATAGTTTAACAGGATAAGTTTGCATGTCTCAGACTTTTGTTTGCAGCTTCTTTACACCTTTGCTGACAGTTTAAGCCAAGCATACTGGCATACTTTCAATGCTGCTACTGACACAGTAATACCTTTCAATTGCCTGAACAAGAATCACCGGAGGGCATCTGTCTGAGTCTACCTTATGTTGGAAAACCATCTGGCATGTTGTGGGATAGTCCTAATAATAACAATGATCTCTTTATCAGGAGTTGAGTCATGGTGCTTGGTTTCCAGTCTAATTCTCTTCTTAGATACGTATATGTATTCCGTATAGCCAAGGGGTTAATACTGCGTGCAGGTACTGTACAAGACCATTGTGCTGACAGCTCTCATTTGGACTCATTTATCATTCAAAATATGGCCATAAGAAATGCATTTAAATAAAAAAAAATAATTACTAAGATGAAAGACATAGATCAGTGTTAATTGCATCCTAAACCTGTTTCCTGCTTCTGCCTGGGGAGGGAAGGTGGGAAGAGAGGAGTAAACGGGGATGGCAGTCACAGGAGTAAGGTACGTTCCCGGAAGGTGCTTTTGAACTGTTAGAGGGTCTCTTTTTGCACTTGACACAGACATCCATCAGCAGTGATGATGTGGAGCTGCCTGGACCTGAAACATGGAAAGAGAAATGCTCCAGGAGCTACTTGGTCTTCACTGGTTCCTCACAGGAACATCTGCACTCGGTTTCTTTCCTGTAGGGAGAGCCCAGAGTATTTTGTGAACCTGAGTGTATGTTATTTCCTAGAATCTCAATGAGGTTCAGAGATCACGTCATTAATTTGTATGTTTATTAAGTTGTATTGAACCAGACCTTCAGCTAGCAGTGATTGGTGCAGCTCTAGTAATTTCCAACCTTTGCTGAAATCTGGCTGAACTTCCCTCAGATGTTCACCAAGTGCCTGAACCCAGCAGTTACATCTGACCATCGTGCCGTTGCCATGCCTCAGAATTGCTCTGTGTTGCCTTATGGTGAACCACAGCTGTTGGGAGTGTGTCCCTGTGAGAACAGAGCATCCTTGGTGGGATCCTCAGCATTTTAGACCAATACTAGAAGTACCCCAGTCATGCTGCCAAAAGTATAAGACAGCTTTAACTTTACATTGGGAAGAGCTGGGATAATGTGCAGAAGCTGCGACAGAAGCAGGAATAAATGATTTGATGAAGATGATGCAGGAGTGCCGGTGGTGAAGTGTGAAGGCAGCTCTGGTCTCGTCATTCGGAGTTGTGCGTCAGGCCCAGGATGCTCTTCTGCACATGAAGCTGCATGGTTTGGGGATCTTTTGCATTGATAGCAGAGGAGAGAGGTTGACTAAACCACTGAAGCTAATGAACTTCTCATGTGCAAGCAGGGATGTCAGGTTAATTAGTTTGCTAAGCAGCAGAGCTGGAGCTGTGCAACTGCCTGACAACGATAAGAGAAGGGAGCCGCAAGCCAGCGCCCTTTCGGTTGTCTGCTCCTTCATTCCATCTCAGCTCCCTATAAATGATGGATGAGGAGAACAGAGGCAGCAAGCCAAACATGTGCAACCTATGCACACTATGCAGAGCTGCATAATCCAAGCAGTATTGTTCCATGTATGTGCAGGCGGCACTTCCCAGAAGCTTGCGCTGCTGTTGCTGGAGGGAGCCTCACCAGTGCTTTCTGCTGGAGCTGGTGTGGGGAGCTTTTGAAAATCCACTTCTCAAATGCAAATGCTTTCCTTCATTAAAACCCACTTGAAGCCAAGTGTGATCAACAAACACAAAACACTGTCACAGCTCGGACATGCTTTGGATTATGGTTCTCTTTTTTTTTTATTTCCCTTGCATAAAGCAGTTTGCCCCTTTGCCTGCCAAAGTGAAATTAATTACCAATTTCATAAAAAATCTTTGGTCAGCAGTGATTAGATAATCACTGCTTGTGTGTTAGGTAGGCACTGGCAATGTACAGGGGCAGAGGAGTTGTGTAAGCAGAAAAACTGGTGAGATTTTTGATCCTTTTGTTAGCATTCTTCCTCCCTAGGAGCCGTTAAGAGCAGGTTCGACAGGCAGGTCTCAGGAGTTGTTTGTTTGGGTGTAGTGTGTCCTAACCTGGGGGCTAGAGAGACTAGCATTCTCCATTAAAACTTTCCCACCTTTCCAGCTCCCTTTTCCGTGACTACAGGATGTGAAATACTTGATGCAAATGCTTCTACTAATAGGTTGCTGTGCTCAGTGATGTAGGGATGGTCGCTGGGTGAGTAAGCTGTCCTGCATGATGCACAGGGGCCAGGTTAGCTGCTGGTGTGCCCCTTGTGTATTTACACCTGTGGTAAATGGCTTGTAAACTCTGTGGAATTACTGACCTGTAAAATGCATTTAAATACACAAAACTCTGGGCTCTGTAAAGGAAGGGAGCTGGAAGGCATCGTGGCTTCTGGAGGCTTAGTCTGAGCCTCTGGCTCCCCCGACTGGAGCTGGCGCTGGAGAAGGCTCGGTGGGGACCTGGGGATAGGAGTCAGAGTTGTCACCCAGTGACAAAGGCATCCACACTACCTGCTTGCTCTTCATTGAAAGCTTTAAGTACCATCTCCTTCTGGGTTGCTGTACTGTAAACTGGTGCTGCTTGATGGAATGATTTAATTAAGTGTGATTCTTCTTTTTTTACATGCTTTTAAAAACCAAATTCAGTAAACACTTGCAAACATGAGGGTGGAGTCTTGGAAGATGAAGGCTGGCCGTACAGAAACCAGGCTGAAAGGAGTTTCAGAGGAGCACATCCAGGGATCTGAGCTCGTTTAAGTAATGTAAAAATGTGGTTTAGTGCTAAGCCCAATTTAGCGTGCCTGCAGACTGCTGTGTGCTGAAGTGCTCTCAGCCTTCCTCATCATCTCCAGATTCTCTCCCTCTCCCTGTGCTGCATCTGATGATTTATGCAGCCATGTAATGAATCCAAACAGCCCTGTTAGCCAACAGAAGCCTCTCTTCATGTTTATTAATAGTTTACTGCCCTAGCAGATCAGTGAATTGAACCCCGCATCCTGTGATGCTCGTCCAGTGCAGTGGAGATGGCAGTGGGTGCACAGCCTGGTTAGGAGGAGGAGGAGAGGAAAACATGAGCAGACTGTTCAGCAGCAGTGTGAACTTTATAGCAATTTTGTTATAAAGTGAAACTGTACACAGATTCAGTGTATGTGTGAGGCCCTTTGATCCATAAGGATGGGAGGCTTTGCAGATTCAGTTCTTATTTTAGTGTAGGATTATTTTCTGCCTGGGATGAAGACCCTGGGACTGCTGCACGGTGAGCAGTGTTGTGTGCACCAGTGCCACAGTCCATCCAAAGTTCTGTGAGATTACCTGGCAGCATCACAAGAGCTGAGCAAGCTGGAAAGCTGAGTGATTAGCTGTTGAACCTCATACAGCAAATCCGTTCAGTGGAATGGTGCTGTTCAATTGGCACATCAGTATTATTTATTTAAAATGATGGTGTACTGTTCCCAGAGGTTCTAAGTTTTTACTTTGTAGGATGAAAGAGTTGCCAATACTCCTTAATCCTTGGAGAGAAAAGACTATTCCCAGCAAGAGTCCTATTTTGCTGTAGTCCTTCATGTTTTTAGAGCTGCCTGTGCAATACTTTGCCAAACTCCAAAGAATAGAAGTAAAAATGGAACATTTTGGCCTTTTAGTGGCTGTTTATGAGCAGCAAAACAACTTTCAGACAATTAACAGATCTCCTTTGGAGATCAGGCCTTTAGGAAGCTGTTTCTAGGTTGTCACATGTCTAATTAAAACAAATAGTAATGGTAATACTCCTGCTGGTGTTCAGCTTTGTCCAAGGCGAGGCTTGCAAGCCTGCTGGTTGATCCTTAAGAGTATCTTTACACCTAAGTGAAAACCTTTCTGGGGCCTAAGAGTGTGGGAATAACTTGGTACAGGTAGCGTTTGTGCTGTGCTGTGGCTTCAGGCAGTAACATTGTACCATGGAGGATCTTTCCTTACCAGACATCTGGGATTTTAAGAGCGTTATTATTGAATGCTAATTTTAAGCAATTATGGTTCTAGGAGAGGTCACAGCATAAAAATGCTGTAAAATAAGCTTATTTTAATTGCTTACAGCTACACTAGGAAAACTGTATAGAAAAAGAAAATCACTGTTTTGCTTTGCTATTTAGCAAATTGCTAAAGCAATCACCAGAGAGGTGTGCTTGGAGAGCCTTTTTAATTCTCCTAAGGACTGCACTTATACCTGAAGGAGGAAAGTTGTGTGTGATGGAAAGAGTTTTTATCCTGAATTTCTTCCACCGCTGTGAAGCTGTGGTTGGAGTTGTGCTGGCGTGCGTTCAGGAGCCTGTCTGCTTGCATCCCCCAGCAGCGCGCTAATATCTCCCATCTGAAAGCCTGAAATGGAGGCTCTTAGTTTCTGTGATTTAGGATTTGATCAAGCTTGTGATCGTGATAATGTTGGCTCAGTCTGAGCTGAGATTTGTTAGTGAATTGTGTATGCTTTGGTAATCCATAGCAGTGGTGAATAAAACAGGTTCTCCTTAACCACTGCTGAGGGCTGAATGACTGAGACTAGAAGGGGTGGATATAGTGAAAAATGGCTGATGTGACTGAGTGGCAGTTCTTGATGGCTTTTGAGCATTCTCTGATACACTGTGGTGTTTCTCTTTATAGCGCTTCCACTTCTCAGTCGGACCATTCTACTCACACCAAATCTGCTTCTGCGCTATCATCCGACTCGATCTCCACCTCAGCAGACAACTTCTCTCCAGATTTAAGGGTATGTATGTCTTGTCTCAAAAAATCAAAATACATATGTGTTGTGGCCTGCTTGAGAGGACATTTCTTGCTTCTTGCATTTTGGATATGGTGAAATGATGTCAGCTTTCAGGTTAATGCCAAATTTTATGTAGCTGAAACATGAAAGGACCCAAAGTCAAACAGGTGAAATTGAAGTTTAATTTTACCGTATTATTTGCATCTTTATAAAGTTGTTTAATCTTCAAAAAGCTGACTCTGCAACCCACACTTGGAGATGAGTTTTCAAAGGAACTCTATTTTCTTTTAAGTGCTTTAAGTAAGTGAAACCCTCCACCTGCCAGTTATATATCCTTTTCTGTTGTGTGTATAGAAGAGATGTTCCCTCTTGAGAGCTCCCGCTTGTTTGTAAACACTGAGTCCTTGGAAGTAGCTTCTTTCAGAGAAAGATTGCTATCTCCAAGCAGATAAAAATAATCTTCTGTCACAATAAAGTGCTCTGACATAAAAAGGTCCAAACAAGGCTCTTTTAAGACTGTTATTTGATTAGTTAATTATAAATTCAAAGTTCTATTTCAGTGTCACAGGAGTTTTGGAGCTATCTGTGTGTTCCTCTTATGAAACCAAGGGGGGTACTGGTGCAACTTTGCTTGTAAAAAACATCCCTGAGTATAAACCTGTTGGTGTTGGTACATTCTAGTAACAACTTTCAGCATTTTTCAGCTGTGGTTGAGCATCTTTGTGAAATCTAAAGACAGTAAAATTACATGCAATCCTCTGAAAACCTCTCTGCAAAACTAATCCCTTTGACAGCCATGATAATTATTTTGTCCTGTGAGTGTTGTGTCTATAGTCCATAATTAATACCAGGATGTCCACCTGTTTGTAAGTGGCAAGAATATAAATGTTTCTTTCTACAGGAGGTTATTAGCAAAATATTAAACTAAGATTTGTAAATTAGTCAGTAGTTTGTGTTATCTAATGATAATTTACACCTTTTTCTATGGATACAAAAAGTAATCTTCAGAACATGGCTGCATAAAGAAGTTTGTAGTATGTCTGAAGCTGGGGTGTTCAGTTACTCCAGCATACAGAAAACATGATTTTTAGATTAAGGTTAAGCGATTCATTGATATGAATATACATGAGACTGCAAATACTGCAACAGCTGTAACTGTATAATAATATTTTTAAAAAAATTACACAAGCATTTTCCTATTTACTTTTAATTTTTTAACTGAGGTTTGCATAAGTGATTTCTTTTTCCATTTTTTATGCACAATTCATAGAATAATAAAATCATGGAATGGTTTGGGTTGGAAGGAACCTTAAAGCTCATCCAGTTCCAACCCCTGCCATGGACAGGGACACCTTCCACTAGAGCAGGTTGCTCCAAGCCCCTGTGATCAACCTGGCCTTGAACACTGCCAGGGATGGGGCAGCCACAGCTTCTCTGGGCACCCTGTGCCAGCACCTTACCACACTCACAGTAGAGAATTTCTTCCTAATGTCTAATCTTAATCTCCCCTCTTTCAGTTTAAAGCCATTCCCCCTTGTCCTGTCACTACATGCTTTTGTAAAAACTCAGCTGCCTTTTCACAGTTTTTATGACACATGGGGATTACCTTTAGAAGTAGAGAATGAAACAACATTTATTTTCTAGAATCAAGGCTGTCTTTCCTCCCTGGTGGTTAAATTGGTTCAACTTGTTTTCCTTATAACCCTCATTGTGTCTTGTGAGTCTTTCCCTTCTTTTGTCACCTTATCTGTATGAATTGTAAGCTGTCTCGTGGGGATTTCAGCTCTCCTGGACTCGTCTGGTTCCCTGTCCAACAGGGCCTCTTTACCCACAAGCAATCAAAAGTAATGCCTACAGAGGAATGTTCTCTTAGCTGCTTAATAGATTATTCAGGCAGGAGATGCATATGCATTGTTTACTGGAGGCCATTAGAAGCCCATACTTCCTTGCTGTGCTGCAGTTCCTGTAATTTGCAAAGTGATTTCTTCACAGCCTGCCTTCTTATTTATTTGTTATTTATCTATTTCTAAGCAAACTAAAGTTCTGCCATGGTTGGAACACGTGCTGCTCCCCTTTAGTGTTTAAGAAGGGATGGTGAAGCAGAGATTTACTTATTTAGTATAAAGGCACTTCAGGCCAAGTGTGAGTGTGTGCCTCTGCTGGCAAAATGCTGCTTGCTGTTAACCTGCATCAGCTTTGTGGGGCCTGAATTCATCTTAAGCCTGCCAGGCTTCACCTAAAGCGTGCTCTTGCAGAGGTGCTGCAAGTGACTGCGATGCAGTTGTGTGTAGGCATAGTGCTGGTTCTCGCCTTTACACTTGAGTAATTGCTTGGCAATGGTAAGCAGACCTAGAGAACAAGCATTCCCGTAGTACTACTTGTAGGATGTAGCAAGGACGGGGCAGTTTATACTAGCACTACTAATAGTCAACTACTAGGTTGACTATCTCTCCTAGAGGAATTGGTGTATTAATTATTTCTCTTTCTGTTCCTAAGAGTGTTTGATTCTGGACATCATGCCTGGGAGGTGGGATGAAGATCTGTGGACAGCCTCAGGTGTTGGTATTGCCAGTGCAACTACAGTCCCACAACCTCTCCTCAAACCAGTCACTCTCAGTGCTAGTGCATTACTGTTTTTTCCCTGGGCTAGCTGTTGGAGCCTCATGCTAGCTCCTAAATGATCTATTACATGTGGTGATCAAGTAACTGATTTCTTTCAGGTCTGGAGTCAAGGAGAACAGGCATCCTCTCTCTGTGGCAGTTCTGCAAGTTGTTTTTTAATAAAGTCAGTTCTGTAAGGGATTTTTCAGGGTCCTGATTGTTCTTCCTATTTTCTCTGATCTTTCTGAGATGTGGCCCTGCCTTTGATACTGCAGATGAGGCCATACCATTAATGCATACAGTGGCATGCGCATGGTCTCTGATTTAGCCTTGTCTTTATTTGCTTGAGCATCTTGTGCAGCTTTGACTGGCACAAGAAAGCATTAACTCCCAAGTCTTCACAAGTACTGAGATTTGAGCTTAGCACATTATTACTTCTGAGGATAAAAGGAAGTCTCACATCATTCCTGGAAAAGTGTAAGCCCTGAAGTGGGAACTAATGCATTTTGTGGTAATTTGGTGGTATGGGATACAAGAGCCTGGGCTACATGGTGTTCTCATGGGAAGGTGTTGCATCAGTTAGCTTAAAGAGGCTGAAAATAAGCTTTTCAGCATTTTGACGTGGATCTGCCAATTATGGGATTATGCTCTTGATGTGTATTTAATTTTTTCCTGCTAGAATGAATTGCTACACGGATCCATCACCACTCCTACCTCTGCTTGGTCTATGTTTCTATGTGTGCGTTGCCTGAAATTTAGGCATTAAATGTCGGTGATGATGGAAAACCACTCTGTGATAGCTACAATTAGCACTCTCTTTTCTGTGGGGAATTTTTAGAAGAATGGGCATCCATTGGGAGGAAACAACCAGGGGAAGGACCCACATCATTTCTTGCAGTCTGTGCCTGCAGTTTTCTTTCGGAGTGCAATTAACACTCTGTGTGTGTGCGCACATGAGTGTAATGAGGTAAATGAGACAACCGCTGGGGATTCCTACCAAATGCATGTGCAGTATTTTTCCTAAATCTTTCTCCAAAGTGTTTAATAATAACCCTTATGAAGTTTTTTTTTAAATGTATATTGAGCATTTCGATATCAGGAACTAAGGTTCAATTCCCTTTCCACTACAAAACGTATAGAGTTTTCACTTCATAAACTAACTCTAAATAACTTTTGGCTGCTTCAGTTAGCTTCGTGGGGGGAAAAAAAGAAGAAAAAAGCCTCAAACCCCAACAGAAAAACAACAAAGCGCTATTAGGTTCTCCCTTCAACCCCCTTCCTGATCTCAAATCTGAAACTGTTTAGAATTGATTTAGGGAATGCACTTTTTGAGGCAATTTTTAGCAAATACACTGCCATATGTTTTAGCATAAGTTATAGATCAGGCAAGAACAGAATTCAGTAGAAATAATTGGAAGTGAAAATGGGCTGGAAATTCATAGATACTTTGTAATTTGGGATGAGATTTTGAAACTGCCTTAGAGGCAACATTGCCAAAGGGGTTGAGGTGGATAAATATCTCTTACAGATCTGGGAACTTGGTGGGTTTTAAAGGACAATTAGGTTCTTACTCCTAAGTCCTATAGATGCTGTTTTCTCCTGTGCCTACGGGCAGATATGTCTGTGCATTTTATAGTACTTCTCTTAAGGCTACCTGCTAGTGCTCTAGCTTTTATCAGTTGGGACTTTTCATTTTGAGTCACCTGTTGATTTATAGGATAATGCTGGAAGTTTGCTGTGTTCAAAGCTTTGGAGTGGCTTTCTTGAAAGGGATGGATCCTTCCCCATTGGAAGCAGTGGATGTGGCCAGCAGAGCCTGCTGCCACTTCCCTTAAAAACACTACATTTGTCTGAAAGCTTGTGAAGTTCCATTGGGTTTGGTTTTGGACTGTGTACAGTGAAAGCCTGAACCAGAGGATGGAAATTCATATCCTGGTTTTCTTATGTTGCTTCTAGTCCATCCCGTGGATGGAGGAAACCAGTACAGCAAACCCATATGTCACTTGCTTAGTTGTGCAGCCTTCAGAAAAGTGGTTCAAATCTTTGTTCTTGGCATTGCTGCTCATGACCATGAAACCATTCTCTCCTTTGAGGGCAACAGCAAGATCCGCAATTTCTCATATTCCTCTGATGTCCAGCAAAACAATTGTACAAGCATACGTCCCATCCTCCGTGGTTGTTTGCTCCCTCCATAATAATTTTCTCTTTTAATATATGGGGAATCAGTGGATTTGCAATGGGTTTATATGAAATCCAAGAGCATTATTGTAGCATGCCCAGGACCTGAAGGTTAGAAAGGAGAAGAAACAGTTGCTTGCATAACCTTAATTTGTTATCCATTGTGTGTATGGTTGGAAACTGCAGACAAGCCTATGTGGTTTATTTTGTAAGAGACATAACTG